GTGTGTGGGAAACCGTTGTGACGTACTGTTTCAATCACTTTTTCAATCGTTCTAATGTGACATTACAAAAATATACATTTGTAACCTATTAGTGACCTTTTCAAATATGTTTATGAAAAAGGTATTCAATGTGAAGTATTTTTAGCAGCCCAGGGCAGAATGACTTTTGAAATGTCTGACCCTGGACCTGTCCTGTCACTTTGATATGTACAGAAACTCTGACCCCCGAAGTATGACCCCTTTAATCTAGACCATGAATGCTCATACATTTTCTAATCCTGTGTCATTATAAAAATGTATATGGAAATTGACAATGGGTGATGTAGATATAGAACTTATGGCAGGGTTGGATGTCACATTTAGAGTGACAGCAAACTGTCATAATGATACAGGTACAATACTCGACTGAATTATTTTAACAACTAGATTTGATTTTAACAATTGTCTGTCTGTCTGTCTGTCTGTCTGTCTGTCTGTCTGTCTGTCTGTCTGTCTGTCTGTCTGTCTGTCTGTCTGTCTGTCTGTCTGTCTGTCTGTCTGTCTGTCTGTCTGTCTGTCTGTCTGTCTGTCTGTCTGTCTGTCTGTCTGTCTGTCTGTCTGTCTGTCTGTCTGTCTGTCTGTCTGTCTGTCTGTCTGTATGTCCCACAGATATCTGAAGAATCAGTGATCAAATTTCAGTGAAACTTTGTACAGACATGATTAGTTTTATAGGGTAAAAATCTGTGCATATTAATTACGTAATTTGTATAATCATTACCGGTAATCAAAAATTGGGCTTTTTCAAAATAGACTCATATGAAACAGCACCCGCTAGAAAGCCCCACAGTTGAACTTCACTTAAATTCACTACTAAAATATACATTATTCCAAAACTCCCTTCATCCTCTGATTTTCACACGCAATGTTATGAGTATTTTCAAATACATGGTAAGATTCTTGATAGAAAATAATACTGGTTATAATAATCCTTTGTTACAATAGACTCGTTTGAGGGCAATTCTAGCAGGAAGACACAATAAATTTAACACCACTTTTCTTCCAGTTTCCATGGCAACTGATACTAGTACAGAGACAGTGATTACTATTGTACTCTAATCTGGTTTTAATTTTGTTTAAAGACGGAACCATCCACTCAATTCAATATTAATCTTGTCCTTTTACAAGTTCAATTTTTTTCAAAATTATTGCAAGGAAAATTCAACACTCAGTAATAATTTTTTAAGCTGAAACTGATTATTTTTTTTGTCAATAAATTCAAAATGGTCGTCCAACAAAGCCATAACCTAATGAGAGAAATATTAATTTTTCACTATCGAACTTGAAAACATTTTATGTTGAAATTTACATTTCACTTGAAAAATGTGTATGTAGAAGATGGCAAGATAATATTTGCTTTATACTTTAACAATTACCCAAAATATTTATCGTTTATTCACTCTATTATATTCATTTTTATTTTAACTTAAAACTAAAAACTGTTTCTCATACTGACAAATGATATGATGTGATCGATGTTCGGTGGCAGACGTTAGTTTATCTGTATCACTATATAGCATATGTGCTACTTTTATTTTAATCTTCTTTTATTTTAGTCTTTTTGTGTATAAGCTCTGTTATTTTTACTGCCTGAAAGCACTTCTCTCAGCATAAATTACTATCCTGTGGCAACTTTTAACACAAATAATTCAGAGGCCAGAATTGATATGGCATACTTGTAATCTGACGCTTTTATGTTATTGCGTAATCATAATTATAACAAATATTACTCAAAGCAATAAATCATCTCACAACTTCACCAACTGTAGAAACTATTTAGATTTCTAATTTTTTATGTGAGAAGTTACAAAATACAAAGTTTAATATATATTCAAAAAGTATAAATATGAATATTTAGTAAATACTGTAAAACATGTCTTTTTAGCCAGCATGTATTTTTTAAGCTGATGTAGCTAATCTGTAATTTCGTGATCTCAGGATTTAAAATAAAGTACAATAAAATTGTTGGCACTTTAACTAAATTAAGATTCTGTTAATTGATGATTCTCTAAAATGGCATGTATCTATTTCAACATGTCTTACAGTAACTTATAGCAAGGATATTTATTGAATTCATTTCTGATGGATACTATTGAAAATTTGAGAAATTTCATCTTATATATTTCCTTACTATTAACATTTCATTGTAAACTTTGTGACTATATGTTGCAAATTTTGTTAGCATTCAGTACAAACCCATACCTTCCATAATTATCATTACCGTAAAAAAATTCATCATGAAGTTACGACAATATCAGTATTTAATACCACAAGGTCAAAGGTCGAACAGCCCACAAACCAATCACAGTGCTGTACTAAACACCATACACAGTAGTATGCATATATTTGATACATTGTCATATGGTTATTTGTCAGAAAAATGTCATCATGTGCAACAATAAGAAATATCTTTTGTTGTAATTTACAGTAGAAATTTGGTAAATTTGAATAACCACTGAACAGTGATTTAGTGTATTACAATATTACTGAGCATGCTGGAAGCTAGTATTAATTTAGCTGAATTCAATTATTTAAGACCCATTTGCAAGTTTAACAATTACTCTTAATCTTCTATTGTTATGGAGTATTATTTCTAAGATTATCCACGCTTCATTGATTTTTCTCATTTTTTTTATTAATGAAAAATTACTTGTTTTTCATATATATTGGAAATCCTGCTTGTCATCTTAAGTGCAAAATTAATGTTATTTTCTGCAGAATTCTCCACTGGCTGTGTTAGTTTTGATCAAAAAGGATCAATTTTCTGATTACAGTCCAGTCCAGTATCCTAATATAATATTCATATATAATATAATGTTAGTTTATTTCCACTCAGTAATACAAATTGTCAGTTTTATTTTGTTCTGGATTGGATTGGAAACTTATAACCACAATTGAATAGTAACTGATATAAATCCACTTAAAAAATGAACATTATTTCCACCACCTCAAATACTGACTTTTAAATAATGAATTTAAAAATAAATAAGAAATTCAAGACTGTTAACTGAGAGTTTGAAATTTCCTCTGTAAGCTGCTCACATTTTAAATGTCACTAGTATGAGTGAAAAACTATGAAACTACATCACATTATATGTTATATACTGGTATGAAATTGTTGTAAACTCTGCTGCTCAGTTAGAAAATTCACAACTAAAGTCTCCGCAATATCTTTGTAGACATATTTTTTGATTAAGCAGGAATAATATTCTAACTAAAATAATATATGTGACCCCAGAATATATCACAAAGGAAATTTTATCTCAAATATGATAATCATATCAATTTTTGTTTGTCTTTGTGTCTCAGTTTTGTCTTGTTGAGCATCAAAAATTCATATCACTATGGATGCCTGGAGTTGTTCGTTGTTCAATTTTCAATGGTAAAGGATTCATTTCATTCTATCAGAGTCATCTAGTTACCGTATCCTGTGATATACATTATATATTGCCTCTCAGCTAATGGAGAATATAATGTAAAGCTCTGTCATATTACTGTATCTCTAATTCCTCTTACTATGATGGAAATATTTTATATTTACATTTTCGTGTAGATTTTTTTGGGTAAAATTTTAAAAATGTCTAGTTTCACTGAAGAGATGGGGAAGTCAAGTCTTGTCTCCCTGGTTACAATCGTGAATTCAGCCAATTAAATGTGAAAAAAATATCTTCTTCTTTGTTCTGAACAGAATTGAAAAATGTTTAATTTTAAATAAAGAAAATGGCAGCACATAATCAGAAAAATCACTATTATTATCTAATGTACAGGCAGACAATTCACCAAAATTTTGTAATTGTATTCCAGTGTTCATTGGGAGTATGTTGCTAGGGTCAGCTGGAGACATCTGCGGCCTGGTAAAGAGATTTGAGTTCCTAAATATTAGAAATCATATCACAAAATTTAAACTTTGTAAGCAGGGAAATGGAAAATAGTTTGAAATGATGCTTTGTGAATAATATATCCAGACGACAATAGTAGTCCACTTTATATATAATTTTGAGTGTCAGATGAAAAGAAATTTATAAATAATTACATGAAGAACTTGGCTTGCTTCCCTTCATTTCCGTGTTTACGCTAGTAAATGGCCAATTATAAATGTATATTTTATACCTGTGTAATTCTAGAATAATAGGACTATTTATTCTTTCATTCTTTTTTATTCTTAGAGTCTGAGGCTCATGGCAATAATTGCAAATTGCCAACTTTTCTGATCATTCACAAATTATAATTTGACATATTTTTTTTTTTTTATTTTCTTAGAAATTTGACTGAGACTTCTTTACTCACATTACGATTACACTGTCATGTTTACAACATAATAAAAACAAAACATGACATCAATGATTTACAAAGTCTGTTATTTGTTCACAGCTTGGCAAAACCATGATTAACATTGCTAGTAATGTGATGGAAATGAAATCAGAGTTATTAAGTGCTGGACAGAGGATTGAACAAGCCTGTACGAGGTGAGTGAACTGTAGAGGGCACTGTACTATATTGTGATTACTTTCAAAGAAGATATGTCAAAGTGAAAAAATAAATGTGTACTAAATTTCTATGATAATACTAGCAATAAAATTAATTTGCAATGGAAATTCTATTCTATTATGATTGAAAGAGGTAAAATTCAAACATTGAAGTTCTAGACCTTAACCTTTTGTTTAAAGTTTAACATGCATATTTGATTCAAAAATGTTGATCAAGAATTGTAGCAAGTTGAATATTGTGTCTAATTGGTTCCAAATTAACAAAGAGATTAATAAAATCTTGCTTTTTGTTCCACCCAGGCTTGTGATGGCAGTAGAAAAATTTGCTTCAGATGTGTTATTGAACAAAGTACAGATTATGGAACACATTGCACCAAACATTGGATTGGAAGCATTCCGCATCAAAGCTGAATCTTTTGAATCATCACCGATCACATGTGCATCATTTGTACGAGATGGTGGAGTAGACACAGCGTATGACGACAAACATTTTAAATGTTTTACTGCAAATATTAACAGTAGTCAGTTGAATACTGATTACAAGGTGAGGAAATATGCAGTGAGTTAAACATGAAGTTCAAAACAAAATATTGTTTAAAATATTTGTTATATCTGACAGGTAAATTGTATTCCATATTTAGTGTTGTACACAACCTGTACTGTGGTATCATCTTATGTTAATGTGTTATTACAGTGTTAATGCCATTCAAACACAAGTTGGTTAACCTTTTCACCACCAGTTTCCTCTTTTCATCACAAATTCTGTTTATAGTCTGCACTTTCCTTCAGAAGATTGTGACAAAAATGGTCGAATTAAGGTTAAAATTAAGGTTCATTTCCAGAAATTTTGAAGAATATAAGAAAAAAGGGCAGAAAAATTTGGAGAATAGGTTAAAACCTAGGTTCCCCTACAAATGGTTGAAGCGAGACCAGTGGCATTGACTCCTTCTTTCCTTCCTCTGTTTGAAGTGATTCATAGTACAGTGCTCCATCCCAGGTAGCATTTGAACTAAAAATTATACATAAGAAATGATATGATTGGCCAAAAGTGTAGATGTGGGGACTGAGTTGCCAATGGAAAAGCTTGTATCATGTGTGAACTAGCTCATGTGATTAATATTATTAAAAAAAATTATGACTACATTTTGAAAACCATGGTAAATGGAATATAATGTTGAGAAAATTTCCTCTCTAAGAAAGAAAAATCTGTTGGCATGGTAACAAGTAAAAATAAACTATTATTTTGTTTACTTTGTAAAGCCTGTAGAAGCATCTATTCAGCTGCCTGTCTCACTAGTTAGTAAATTACGTGATACATATAGCGTAGGAGCCGATACCATGTACAGACTACAGTTCTTTGTTTATAAGAATGGTAAATTATTCCCGAACACTGGTAATTCGACAAACTATGCATCGAATGATGGACGAAGAGATGTGAGTTCAACTGTCATCTCCAGTAAAATTGGTGAGTTTTTTTCTTGTAATGTTTGTTATTCTTGTAGTGGTGTAAAGAGTATACTAAAAGAAAGAAAATTTGTCGAACTTTGGCACAATTTGTGGATGAAAATCTATCTTCTCCACCAAACAGGTTCTTCTATCAGTACTCATTTATGTCTTGTACTTTTGCCATCAGTGTGGTCATCTGACCTGTTCCCTTGACAACATGGTAAATGTCCTCATTTACATAAAAATTCATGAATATGACAATAGCATCTCTTACCAGAGACCTGTAATATCATTGTAACTTGATCTATTCTCTCTTTTCAGCTGATTTAAATGTAGAGAATTTAACAGATCCTGTTATCCTGACATTTAGGCCACGCCCACAGGGAGCTGATCCCGTAGCTGGATACTGGAATTTCAGGGCTTTAGGTATGTAGTGGTATTCATTACTGGTTTCTATAGCAACTAGGTTGCATGTTGTATAATATGGTGTTCAGTAATAATTATAATATTTTGATATTTACAATTTGTGTTAATTGCTTCTACCAGTTTAATTATTGTTTTTTTTACAAATCAGCTTATCCTTTTCTGCTCTGCTGTTGACTTTGTTGAGTGGAGCTAATCATATTACTGATTGTCCGTCGTTGACCGTTTTCCTTTTTCAACTTTTAAGAAAACACAATTTTGATTGCTTTGATATTGAACAATTATGTCCCTTGGATGGATCTCTCTTTGATTCGTTCATTCCATGTTGATGTTTTCAATTTTCTAGTTTTGGTGAATATTTTTTTCGTTTTTGGTAAAAAGTGATATTTTCGACTTCTTGTTGAAAGCCAATAGTCTGATTGATTTGATATTATACGTATAGGTAATACGGATGGATCTACCTCAGACTTGTTCATTTTGTGATAATATTTTCAATTTGAAATGTGCATTGCTAACAGCAGAGCTATCTCAGTCGAAATGGTTGTTTTTTGAGATTCCGGACAGACGTAATCTGCTTTAGTCCAAATTTCATGCACTTAGAACAGGAACAGCACAAAGGCCTGACTGGACATCATTTCCCAGCCTGCAATGCAGCAGAATTTCACCGATTGCTGGAATCCCAGCATGCAATGCAGCAGAATTTCACTGATTGCTGGAATCCCAGCATGCAATGCAGCAGAATTTGGCTTCCGACTGGAAATTTTACTAAATACTACAAAATTCACTAAAATGTTATCTCATTGGTTCATAGTAATTTGGAATCTCCTTGAAGTTACACACCATACATATGGTGTGTATTAAATTTGTATTTATATCCTTTTATTTCTAGATGGCCGTGGTGCTTGGGATACTACTGGTTGTAAAATTGTACAACAGAATGAGAATCTGACATCTGTACACTGCTCCCATCTTACAAACTTTGCCATTCTCAAGGTAACCATATTTACTATACATATTCAGTGAATGCAATGTGAACGAAAACATCTATTCTTTAATATTGTAGATCGAAAGTGTTGCGTTTGTATGGAGCACAATTAATATGCATATGCATTGTACATACAAAAACAGCCAGTGCACTTGCATATCAGAGAATTTCATTGTTTCTAAGAACGAACAATGTGGTACGTGAACACCTTTTTTTTTACACAATAGTCAAATGTATTCATCAAAACATATAGTAGCAAACAAAAATACTGAAAATGCCGATATTCTCACCAATATTGATTCTTTGATATGTAAAAAGAATTGAGGTTGTTGTGGAAAATGTCAACTATTCATATTATAAAAATTCCCTGTGTGATTAAGTTTTTTCTGACTTTCTTTCAATCTGACAATTTTGTGTTATACAGAAACACCAGTGTGTATTCATTATTGTTTAAAACATAAATAACTAGTAGTTATTGTGCCATGCTTGCTGTGCAGTCTTGAAGTAGTTTTTTGAAGTAGTAAGACCCACTAGTTCAAAGTCACATGTTGTAATTGTTCTGATACCATGTGTTGAAAGCCAGCATCATAATATAACTGAACACATCCCTGGATGCTAAGAAATTGACAACAATATACAGGATTAATACACTACTATAATAAGCTCTGTTTATAAGGGGAGTGGACTGTGGTGTACATTATACAAGAAATTACCACAACACAAAAAAGAAACGAATGCAATCCCTAAACCACAATGATTGATGCTTACTCCATCACAAAGGATAGTTAAGCTTTTCTAACAGACCCTAATAGTTATTGGAGTGTGTGCTAATTGTCTTATTCAGACCACTATCTAAAAAGGCTGTTATATAACGACCTTTGACACAATGGCACTCATGCAAATCACCTTGGCCTATTGTGCAGAGACAATGAATCTCACCTAAATGCCCCCAGCTTTCAAGACCTTTTTGGGTGAGGTCTGTGTATTTGGCACTGTGTTTCTGGGCAAACACCATGTCTTACTTTACCACTCCTGGTTTTAACTCTACACAGGATTTACACAGCCCAGACAACAGTATGGAACGTATGGGTGGCTGGAACACAGGACTGTTACAACCCATAGTTTATGTTGGCAGCGGTGTTTGTGTGATTACAATACTCGTGACCATCTTGACATATATCTGTTTCAATAGGTAAGTACTGAGGGTAACTGATGGACGAGCTGCACTGCTTTGCATATCATCTGGCACTTTGTGATTTCTAAATCCTTGGTTTCTGTATGTATATTGCAAGTTACTTTCGTTTCTAACTTGCTATGTGTCAAATTCTCTTGAGATGCTTCGGTTTTCTTCTGAATTTACTTGTCTGTTTGATTTCTTTTACAAGTGCATGACAAAACCCCTCCCAGACAAAAAAAAAACGTACATAACCCCCTCAGACAACGGGCAAAGCCCAACCTGGGCAACACCTCCTTTCTATGTTAATACAAAACCTCCCTTTCATTGATATAACTATACAATTTTGTCCGAACCTCCTTTTCACACCAGATACATTTTCTAAATGATTCTTTGTTTTGTTTTTTTTCAGTCAAATTCGCTTATCAAGGAAAAGTGTGCACACATTAATGAATTTAAGTCTGTGCATCATCATGACAGTCACAGCCTTCACAGGGGGTATAAATCGCACAGAACCAAAAGTTATCTGTTACGGGATTGGTATCTCAATCCATTACTTCACTTTGTGTACACTGGTATGGTTGGCAATAGCATCAAGAAATCTCAATAGACGACTATGCAGGAAGGATAAAGTATTGCCACCCGGTGAACCCCCTCCTCCACCCAGACCAATGCTTAGGTTTTACTTTGTTGGTTGGGGTAAGTATCGTGATCTAATGCTTTGTCAATGATTTCCCAGAAAGTTGGGAAATTATATGTATTCAATGATTCACATCCAATGTTTTATTATGATTTCTAAATCAGTGATCCAAAAATTTATAAAATTTTTTGGAGTTATTTCATAGTGTACCATACTTGTATTTTCAAGAAAACAATAGTTGTAGTTTTTGCGTAACTGTAAATGCATTTATTGTTCACTGATAAATAAAATTCGCTTAATTAAATTCTCTTTATCATGAAGAACAACAATAGAACTCATTCTTTCTCTGCCAAATTTGTGAACAAAACCCAGTAAAATTGCTCAAAACATCAAAATAGTTAAATTAAATGCCAGTGAAAATTAATGCATGATTTTACAGTATTCTGAATAAACCACCATTCATACTACCAGAGTAGTCACAATGGAGGACAATTAGCTGGGGAAACACTGTTAGTAAATGTTTATTTCATTCCACAGGTCTTCCCATCATTGTTGTTGGTATCAGTGCAGCTGCTGATATAAAGAAATATGGGAGCTCAGACTAGTAAGTACTGTACTTATTCATTACTGAAAAAACAAATGAATTAATTAATAATCATATAATAAGTTGTTCCAATTTTCTATCTTTCAAGAGTGTGATCCTGATTTTTTTTTTTTTGTGAGAAATTTTGTAGCAGTGAACTTGTGACATCTTTAATCTGATTTCCAGTAACTTTGTGACATTTTTTAAATCATCAATGTCATGGCAAATTCTGAGAATTTAGCAGTATTTGTCAATGAAAACATACAAAGCACAAATTTTTGCATCAAGTATTGAAAACTTTTCTATTTATTCTTTTTAGCTGCTGGTTGGAGATACAAACTAATCTTGAGAGTAGCTTACAGCTGATTGCGTTCCTTTCATTCGTCAGTTTGATGTTCCTCGTCAACATCGTCTATTTCATCAGCACGTCAAGGAAGTTGCAGACAATGCCCAGGAAGTATGAAGTCAAACAAATTGAGCAGAACCGTGAGAACGAAAATGCCGAGCGTGACCTACCGCTCACTGATTTGGAATCTATTGGTACTCACACTGCAGCAACATCAGTTGCCACTAGTTTTCTGGATGCTGAACATAGCTACCAGTCCCAGCTGCGATCGCTTGTTTTCATAATGTTCTGTTTCATCGGTGTGTGGTTGTTTGGTGCCATGACAATAACGCAGGAATATCACTTGAGTTTGTTGTTCAGCTACCTCTATGGGGCTGCCAGCACCGCACTCGGAATTTTCATCTTTGTGTATAATTGTTTGTTACGAACTGATGTCCGTCTTAGTTGGCAGCGCTGCTGTGGTTGTCGCCGTAAAACCAGATACGCATACTCTGTAGATTCTGGCGCAGCTTTGCAAGGCAATGGACATATTTATCATCACAAGCAATCAGCAAGCAGCATTGATTCGTCATTCACTAACCGTTCAGTCACCACAAACCGCTCTTTTCACTCCAACCCAGGATACCGACCAGTGCCGCAAGGCAGAAAAATGACTAATGCAAGCATTCCATCTCACACTGCAACATACACTGATCATTCATTTGATGGTACGATTGATAGCAGGACACATCCGTATGCTTTGCAACAAAGACCAAATGGATATCCCCCGCATCATAGGTATATGCAGAAGTATAAAAACCGTCCACCGAATATAAAATATCCTCCTCGTCCCCCACAGCTACCAGTAAACAGAGACTGTGGTATGAACTATTACATATACCCTGAAAATAGACCTCAGAGTCGGGGTAGTATGGCGGATAGCCATTCAAGTTTTCCTGAAAGCTTGGCTTCTACGGTAAGAGGAGGAGCAAGCCATTACAGTAGCGAGGCCAACACCCAAGTCAGCCTCAACACATTCTCGCAGCAAAGAAAGCGAGACAAAGAAGGACACGAAATAGGACGGGGTGAGTCACGTGAGAGAATAGGAGGAAGGTCACGCGATAAACTAAGGGGAGAGCCACGTGAGATTATGAGGGGGGAGTCACATAATATAGTGAGGGGGGAGTCACACGAGGATTGTCATAAGTCGCAAAACAGTTTACCCAGCATTCCTAGGGATATATCCCGGGATAGCAGTTTAGGGAGGGAGGCAAGGATCACCAGAGATAATGATCCAACAGCATCAAACAGCATCAAACCAAAAACACCTGACTCTGATATACAGGAGACTGATTCCGTTTCACCTCCCTGTTACGAAGATGTAACAGAACCTTGTTATGAAAAAACAAATGGGGTTATAGTCGAGAACTCAGTCGAGGAGGAGCAGTCACAAGTATCAGATTCAGGTTCTGGCTCCGGCTCTGAGTCGGGCATGGAAGGATCTGAATGTGGCAAAAAGAAAAAGAAGAAGTCCTCTAAATGGAAGAAGGAAACCAGTGTATAAGAAAGACAGTGTACTTATTTAGAAGCAAGGAATTTTTATGATGTTGTGAAAATACCCTTTTAAGGCAGTACAAATATTATTACAATTGGAACCACTTAAAACTGGAAACTCAAAACTAATATTCCTTGCCCTATATAGTGTTTTGTCACATGTGACAAATAACTTTGGCCGCCCTAACTCCATGAAAAAAAGGAGAAATGGACCACACAATGAGGCAATTATTTTTGTAGCATGTATGAAATTAAGTGCAATGCATTGTACCTGTAAATACAAAGGTGTTTCAACTTTATAGTTTTTGAACAAAATATCTTTTCTTTCCTCTTCAGCCAGAAAATATTCAAATATTCTGATTTAAGTTTGTAACAGTCAGTCATGTGCATAAAACTGGTATTACCAACATCCATTTCTGGCCAATCTGATAGCAATTAGCATGTTGCTGCCATGGTTATGATACCAAAACAATTATTTCATTTTCAAGATTACTATTGAAAAAAAAAAGAGGCTGAAGACAATCTTCAAATTTTAACTTGCCAGGACAGATGCGCAACATTGTATTTTTATGTAGATAAACTTAAAGCAGAATAATTTAAATAATTTATTTTCTCTCATACCTAAATTTTATTGCATGTATGTGAGTGAGAGCTATAGTTTTCACTTGATAGCCAAGGGCTAATCATTTATTGCGACTCTGATCACAAAGTGAGCATGTCTGTTTGACATCATGTAAAAGTTTTGCATTATTTATCCTTTGAAAAGTACATTTAAGATTTTGTTTTGTTCTTGTCTGTTCACACCAAGAACCCTTTCCTCCCTGGAAGGAATAAAGTGTATCACTTTTTTTGGAATTATCAATACTGTTGCATGATATTCCAGATGGTAATGTTAATTGAATGCATTTCTGTCTTGTCACATTTTTTGCTTCTGCTGACTAACCCTCAGTTAAAATAGACAGTCTTTTTCTAACATACCCTCCCTGTGTGTATATGAAATTTTTTCTATTCAATGATATTCTCTATAACACTTTCTTAATATGCAGCTGCTGATTGGTTTAAGGTGGATTGTTACTGACCAATCAAAGCCACTGATGCGATCCTATTGTATGTAACATCCTTTTATTACGCCAACATGTTGTTGTTTTTTTTATCTATGTTCACCCATTTTTGAAAGCCTTTTCAACCCAGCTGCTGGTGATTTTACACAATTTTGACTTTAATAACATGCAGGGTATTTAGCATAAGTAGTTTTAATGTTTTTGTCAAATTTGTTCTATTTACTGTATCAGATTCTGGGTTTTCACTTTTAGAGGTTTGGAATCATGTCAGGCCAAAAGTTGGTGCCATAAATTTTATATTCGTTTTTTGAGAGAATTTGTACGCAAGTATACATTGGAATGTGATCATTGCCACTTGGTGGCGCTATTTACACAAGTGTCAGGTGACTACCAGTCTTGGTAGTATCTTGCCATACATTTGATATCCATGGTGACCACCAATAGCATTCTTGTTTTGTATCATGTGATGCAAGGCAACCAATCAGATATGAAAAACATTTATCATAGAAGTCATCCAATCATGTGCATTCTACTGTAAATATAATGTACGACTCTTTCATTCAACTCCTGTTCTGTAAATGTTAACATTTCCCAGATTTTGTCGGATATAATTGTAAAAAAATGGATTTTAAAAAGTTTAAATTTAAAAGTTTAAAACGTAAATTTGTAATCCAATAGTAGATATAGAAAACACAATTTAAAAGTTATTTAACAAAACAGTATCACTTCAAATCTTGAAACAAAAAAAGGAATGTTACATGTATTATTTCCTACTTGTCTTAACTATCTATATTTGACGTGCATTGCACCAGTCACAGCGTGGTATGAGCAGCATTATCGCACTTTAGCTTTTAAATCACAATCTTTTTCTTTTTTTTAAAAAAAACAACAAAAATATCAGTCTTGTGAAATTAGCCTGGGATTTCTGTTCAATAGTCTAAAAGACTGATTCTCCTACCAATGTATATGTGCATTTCAATCTCAAAAGACTACATCTGTATTATATTTTGTTTCTCTTAAACATTGATGAAGGCAGGTAGTAGACTAACCGAATTGGTGTTGCATTAAGCAAAATTAGGAAATTAGATAAATTCAAATCATTTGATAGCCTTGGTTTTCAGTTTTCATTATTTGAACTACTGATGTTTATACTTCACTGAAAATTTACTGAAATTTGTCGGATATTACGTGTTCACTTTTATTGTACTCTTTCTAATCTATTTCAATCCAGATGCTGTCCATTGCCACACAATGATAATCATTGTATACTTCTAAAAGGCAGCCATATATGGAAGTACAAGTCCCAAATGCAAATATTAGAATTCTAGGATTTAAACTGGTCAGAATATTTATTGCTAGTGCATAAAATGTTTATTTCTGACTGTAAGACTACAAAGTGTTGTGTAAAGTGAGCATTGTCATCCACAGCACAGGGGATTTTTTGCACTTCAGAAATATTGTCTTTGATGTTATTTTGTAGAAATATTAAATACAGAAAGTCTATTTAAACTGATTCAAATGCTTTGTGTCATTGACTGTTGAGTGGAAAGTTTCTTAACCTGACCTAGTTACTGCACCACTAGGTTTGTGGAAGTGAGCAGAGTACAGCCTCCCACCATAATAATAATGGATAATGGCTTATATAGCCATTTGGCAGACATGCACTGAAACATCTATGAATTTATGATGGATAGTTATCAAAATCTATAGTAAATTTAAGAACAAGAAATTGAATTACATAGTCCTGAAAGTTTTCAGATTTCTGAAAGTTTGAGCATGACCAGTCAGAGTATGTCAGATAAGGCTCTGTAACCACATTCACTAAATCAAAATGGCCACCAGATCTGAAAAACAAATTTATCCTTATATGGTGGAGATCCAGTTCTGGAATGGCACAAATGCTTGATCATGATGAATTTTTAGCACAAAAATAGATGTGTACATGTATCCCAAGGGGCATGTATGAAGTTTGAATGTGATCCGTTTAAACAGAGACTAAGGCCAGACTTTTTTTATTCCTTGTTTCGCAAGTTTTTATAAGGCAATTTTTTTGAGGGCAAAAATAAATATAAAATTCTTTTTTTCCCATTGGATTTGTGTGATTCTCAAAGAATTGTAAGCGAGATCATTGATCGGAGAGAAGAAATGAAATAAAATTTTATTCCATGTATAACCTTGTTTCTCATCTGTCGATACTTCGATACTTTGATCATGATATTCTCACGAAAATGCAACATGGATTTGTTATGCGGCGGGCGGTAAAAAAATGAAGATAAAAATAATATTTGTTTGCGCTTACAAGTCGGCGGGTGCAAGAAATTACGCTGAAATAAAATTATATTTTTATTTCATTTTCGGCTCCTGTTCATTCGGCGGGCTCGCGAAACAAGGGATAATAAAAGTCTGGCCTAACAAAACATTTCTAAAATACACTGCTGCCAATGTTATGAATAAACGCAATCTGGTTTGTAGTTGAGACAATCCCTGGGAATGCACCAGTGCATGTGCTTCAAAATAAAAAAAAATAACCAACAAAGAAGTTTTAAATATTGTGATATCATAATCTCATTTTGGGTGACGCAAATCAACTATATTACGATGTATCAATGTGCAAAAAGCTTGATGCATGGTAATTTTATACCTGTAATGTTATATTTTACTTAAAATACATTTACATTGTGCAGTAACAATTGAAATGCAATATTTAAAACCACTATATTTAGTGGGAAACATTTTTCTGACTGGGTCATTCTATGTGCTTCTTTTAGGCTGCACCTTATAAACAGGGGCTAATACAGTAGATAAACAAAATTTCAATTTAAGTTCTTTTTATGTGGTTCTTTAACCCTTGCCAACTATACTATCTGATCAGTGTCCTTCGGATCAATGTAACACTACAGTTTTCAAGAAAGAGATACAAATTATATAAAAAATGCATACTTTTATCAAGAGGCACTTTATTAACAACCAAATTACCGGTACTATTGCTTGCGTTACACTACAACAACGAATGAAAAAAAAAAAGATTTCTAATTTGGTCCATGATTGTATGAAGTTTTACAAATGCATCCAGTTTCTTGAGAAAAGTACATCTTTTAATGTCCAGACAAATCACACACTGACAATGATGGTTCCTGCATCTCCAGATTGAGTGCAAGCCATTGCTGTTTAATGTTTTTCATCATTTCATATTTGTAAGTTGTGTCTTGTTGTCTTTGGTGACAACTTCTAATAGACTGCCATTCTCTGGTCGACCATCATTGGTTGCCCAATCAAAGAACAACCTGTTGATAATAAAACAAAGATACAATTGTAGTATGAAAACTTGTTTAATATGTAGCGCCATCTAGTGGTGAGGTGCTGCAGTAAATGGATGATGGCAAGGCTGGCCTGTATCATCAAGGTGTCTCATTAAAAATAGTGGTAATATGAGATTCGCTAAATCCTAAATGAGTGCTTTCAAAGTCAAGGCTGCATTTTGCTTCTTGTGGAAGAACCTCCCATGCTAAAAAGATGCAATATGGATGGAAACATACTTGTTAAAACTGTTGTTTGGTACTCAAAACTGTAGACCAAATTGAATTATATTTTATCAAAACCATTAATAAGTATGTGTAATGATTGTATGCACCAAAACAATCTCTGCACATGCGTATTAGAGAATGTCATTGTTTCTACATCAAACGAATACTGAGATGTGTGCTACAAGAACAGAGTTTCCAGGTTTTGATAAAACATAGTTCAATATATTCATCCACTGGCGGATCTAGGGAGGGGGGGGGAGGTATATAAAAGCATAGACCATGTGATAGTTGTGATTACTTACTTTGCTATGTATTCCAGTGATGTCCATGTACTGAAATCTGCATTACTCATCCATTTCCTATTCATTGGTGTATCCAAGGTAACGCTATCATGAAAAAGAGAATGAAACAATGTTAAACGAAAACTATAGGTAGTACCGAATCATAAATACGATGTCATTATAATAGTGCATATGTTTGCATAATAGATATTGTCAAAATCTGTTAAATATATTAATGATTCAGTATATAATGATATTTTTGGCTTCTGTGCTCTTCTACATGTATTGGAGATACACTTCTAATAGAGAAAATATGGTATGGTTGTTTGACACATACACTGTACATGTGTCTTGATACCACTCTAATGTAACATCATGCTACATTTCATGAATTCCATCCTAATAAATTGACATTGTATTAGACAAGACTACATTCAACATCAGTCTTTCAGATTTAGTGACAATTTATCTTGTCAATGGTTTACAATTCAAACGACAAATAACAAATTTAAATTAATTAGACTAGTCTTCCCGTGAGTGCTAACTGATACAGAACATAAATGATGTTTCTCAGCTTCTGTGAGTCACACATTGGAGGGGTTTGTGGGGGGGGGGGGGGGGGTAATTTATTTATTTGTTCACAGCACATGAGATATATAATTCATACACAAGTGTTTGCTGAGAATCATATTCTTGCATATTAATTAGGTCACATAACCACCACCCCTGATTTGTTTAGTTGGAGACCCATCAAAATATGAAGCAAACATGTGCTGGTAGTTTTCTAAAAAAAAAAAAATCACCAAAAACAATAAATAAATATAGAGAATTGAAGTTATCATGAAATGAACAAGCTAATAGAGGCCAACCCAAAATACCTGCAGATCAAGTATCAACAATCCGGTTTGCGGTTCAAAAATTAATTGATGGATTTCACGTACACAACCGACAAACAATCCACTTATATGAATAGCTAGATCCATCATCTGACAGCAGAGATAAATTGAAAGTAGTTGTAGATAGAGTTCAAAGCTGTCATTGGACAAGAATTCCACTAGAAAGATAAACCTTTGTCGTATTTACTTACGGTAATATGGCAGTGACACATGCTTTTTCAGGTAAACCACTTCCTTCAGCGGCTAAGCTTTTCACCAATTGATGAACAGCAGCCTTCGCCATCCCATAACCAATCATACCTACAATTAAATTAAACTTAGCTCAACTATTAGTACCTTGCCCATTGTGAATCAAGGTACATGTATAAACATAATAGCCTAGGCTATTTATTTGTGTGCATTACACTCGTGATTGTCGGTTATAATATAGATGCTGGGTATTTAATCAAACTTGTACCATAATTTTATGCTGCTAAGATTAGAGATAATCCAAGGATGTGCCGCTTGACAGCGTAATTCTAGTGGTCTGACTATTAAACACTTGCCTTCCTGATATGCAGCACAATATCGGACTGTGGCAGATACGGGTTTCTTTGTGAGCTTGCTATGTAAACAACAGGTCCTTTCTTTTTCAAATATATCAACCCATGACCTTCAACCTCGCTCAATAGCACTTATTTATAAAATTAATAATCTGAACATCACTTAATTATTATTAGATGAACTGTATTAATCTCAAGGCTCCTCGTAGATTAATACATGAATTGTATAACAGTTTCCAAAACAATACAATAATGTAACAATTAAAAGTCTACTGGGAAAGTACTGATAAAAATTTAGACGAGAAAAAATACTCACTAAAAATTTGGCAGAAACAAGGCTTTTTACTACATATCAGGTTACTGCTTCATCTAATTAACAGATCTTTGAGAGTAAGATCTGTGTCTCAGAAGTTCCAAAATGTTTGCTTATAACCAATAAGCCAAATTTCCAAGTATATCCTGGAAAATTGTGCATGTTAGTCACACGAAAATTGGACTTTTATCGTGATTGATATACAAGTTGAAGTCAATGACCTCGTAAACAATGACAGATCAGATCCTTTTCCTTTATCTATGATATGGGCAAGGTAATGAAACCATAAATAGACTCCAGTAGTTAACTGTTCACCCATATAATTATTGTTACAGTAGTGGTTGTTGCGCCGGATCCGCAATTGATTCAGTTCAGAGTTCAAATCTTATCTGGGAGATGAACATCATAAATCACACTTGACTTGTTGGCTAGAACCGATCATTCGCACCCAAAAATAAAATAATGGTGTTGTTTGTTGATGTTGATATTAAATATACATGCATGTATCCTGTTAATAAAACAACTTGCGAACATTGTTGTCACAGAAGATCACCAGCCATTACTGATCAATAAGTTATATTTGTTATTTAACATTCACATGCTGTTTGGCAAAAATGTAAACATATGTCATCGTCATGGCCTATAGCCTGGATTAGTATACCATAGACTCAATGAAGAGACCAGATACAACAAGTTTCATTCTATAATGGATGCAACTTTTGGGGATTCTTGGATAAGGTTTACAGGTGCTTGAATTTCATGATATTAAAAAGAAGCATTTCATTGTGCAGTGTCCATCTGTGAATGTCTGAAAACACAGACAGTAACAAGTGATTTGTGTTACACTGCTTTACATGCATGATACATGACAAGGTAGATGAATAACTTGACTGCTTGATCACGTTAACACTTTCTAAGTGTATGTCTTCCGCACTTTATTTCACATGAACACTTTTTAGTATAATTGAGGACTTACTTGCCTCGTTTAGTAAAATTTCAACACAACAAATTTGCAACCACCAGACATACAGGATATGTGATCCCCGTCAAGGTCATGCATAAATTAAGAACTACCTGTATAAATTCTTACCGGCTGTTCCATCTAAGGCTGGTCTAGCTCCAGGCAGTGTGAGTAAACCACCATCTTTAAGATGTGTAGCTGATATTTGTGCTGCTAATGTGGAGGACCATACACTCTGTTTCCACATCATGTCACAATTCTTCACGAAATCTAGAAATAAACAAAGTATGCTGTTGTTGTCTAGTAAAAGAAAATGTAAGGAGCTGATCCCCTGATTTACAAATATTTGCTGCATGATCTGCATAACATTTATTTTTTCTGTGTAATTATAAGTGATTGCTAATGTAAATTCTTGTCATCAGGTGAGTCAGATAATCTTGACAAATCCCAAGATAGGGTTTTCCCTACCAGGGTGTGGAGTTTTTGATAATTCTAAGTTAAAATGGAGCATTCTATGGCTTCCTTGGGGCCAAAATTACTATCAGACAGTTCACAGTTAAAGACTGTGGCCACATGTGATCCCTGGTTAATCAAAATTTTATGGTTGCCGGAGGATCTGCTCCCCAGGGTAAGGGGGCACATGGCCATGGCATGAGGGCGCTGCGCCCCTGTTCCCTTGTTTAAAAAAATCCCTGGTATGTATAGTTACATTGTACCTTTACTTGCAGCATTGCCACCAGCCCATCCACCAGCAACACACAGGACTGCATCTAATTTCTCTCCTTTCAATGTATCTTCCACACTGCTGGTAAGTTGTTTCTCTTGCTCTGTCCAGTTATCAAGGTTTGTCAGTATAATGTTAGCATGGGCATCTTCATTTGGGAATAAATCTACAGATGCCACCCACTGTGTGAAATTAAACAATGCATATACATTAATTAAATTTGAAAGCATAAATTGGAAACTGCAAATTTTACAACCTTGAAAGAAAAACACTTTATTCTCAATTCAACACATTTTCACCAACAAATTAAAAATTGTTTATCTCTTCAAAATCAAAGCATTTCAAACATTTCCTAAAATTAATGCATAAAATTTAAAACACACGCAAGTGACTTTTTAGTCTCTGTTCAGGCATAGCCTGAAAGGAGACTATTAATTCTTATTTCTGGATTCCTTCTGTCCACTTCCCTTTATGTCTCTAACATTTTCTCAGAAATTCTGCAGCAGATATCAATGAAACTTGGCAGGTTGAACAAGTCTCCGTTGAGTACGCACATAATTTTTTTTCCCACATCTGAAAATCCTATGTGGGTCTTTTTCAAGATTTTCATCCAAAATTACCTCTCCCTACTGCACTGACGAGCAACTGAGCATGCTCAGAATAAATTGATTCGGTTAGATTGAGATTGAGATTCATGAATTATTGATTTCGAATTCACAAGTTTTACCAAAATGTATTTGATAAACATGATAATACTTGCTGTGTAATTATATACACACAACAACAAAATAAACAGTATTAGCATTCATCATGGTGACACCTATTTTCCACTATTCATTTCAGTTCTTCGTGGATGCTTTCCGCAGGCAATCTATTAAACTATAGATTTTAGGATTAATTAGGCAGTATTCTGGCATAAATTTTTTATGTGAAAATTTGAAAAAAAATTGAATCTATAATACAAGAATTGCCTATGCACACTACTTTAAATTGTACAGGCAAGAACTACAAATAAAACTAATTTATTCCTGACCATTAGGATATTGCCATGACAACAGTATGACAATGCCATATATTGTATTTTTTCTATTATAAGTCAGCCAAACATCGTGTTTATTGCATGCTGAATCAGTTGCTCTTGTTTAGGATGGATTAATTGTCTTTTTCTCTTTTTTTTGAAGTTTTGTTGTTGATCGTTAATGAACATTATTATTATTATATGACTTACCGGATTCGGCTGATACCCCACCCATCCTAAACTCCGCCCATGAGCAATGTTTTGGTCCACACATTGCCTGACTGAACCAACAAACATTTTTACAGACCCCAATTTTCCCGTCCGACATCTTGCATCGAGCGCGCTATTTCAAATATGATGCTAAAAATAATTCACTGTGAAGTCGAAAAGCATAAAACTCCAATGCTGTATACAAATTGTTGTTGCGTATTATGATTCGTTAATACATTTCACTTGCGTTTATTACACTTGAATAAAGTCTACGCTTAAAAAGAATGCTATTTACGAAGTTTAAAATAGCCAAGCCTTTCTGATTCGAGCCTCTTGGTTGGTATCAGTAATGTTTAATCTTTGTCTGTATCGTATTCCAGACAGACTTGCTTGCAGTCTGTTGCAATTCCGATGAAAAATTCTTGAAAAATAAATATAAATTGCGTTATTGCCATCAGTGTAAGCCCCCCTCACATTACCAGCCAGATTCGGGATTGTAATGATTGACACGTGTAATATGTTTCAAACAATCAGAAGACAGACTAATTAACATATCAACTAAGACCATGGAAACCATACACACTTTCTTAGATAACTTAGATCCCGAAAACTTGCGTTCTCGGAGAAATGATAGTTGTTTTACTCAATTTTGTTGGCGTCAACAACATGGTAACATAGTGCGAGACAAGTAAACACGGGTACGTGCAATGTCCGGTTTATTGTTATGATCCGTGGCTCGGCTGCTCCACCCACCGTATGACGTGTATGCAAATTTACAAGCCCGAATCTGGCCGGTAATGTGAGGGCGCTTACACTGATGGCAAGTCTGTTGGGATTTCGCGGTCAAATGACTTTCGCGTTCACCCCTCGTTTACACAATTTATATTTATTTTTCAAGAATGTTTCATCAGAATCGCTACAGACTGCAGGCAAGTCTACATTCCAGACAAAAAGTTCAAGATCGGTAAACAAGAAATGGACGAACTAAAATGTCTCGTGTGTTTCACATGCAACATGATTATTAAAAAAACAGCGGTCATGTACGTTCTATAAATCTAACCTTGCACACATAATCTTGTATTGACGTGTTTTTGTCCAAAAAAGACGTTCCCTTTCAGTTAACCCCCAGTTAATTCTTTGCGTTCATGGTATTTGTGAGAGTTGAAAGATTTTCTGAACAAATAACAAGTAACTATATTGAGGTTATTAGAGAGTTCAGTCGAAATAGACGTGAATAATGCGATCGAGGTGTGCTTCCTGGAGTTTATTATATTATAGTAAAATTTAACTTGACACATGGTATGGTTTATATTACATATTCACTTCATTTCGAATAAAATAACTCACCATTGGAACACCGATGAATTAAGTATTTTAAATAATTTTCTTGACTTTCCGTTGATACCTGACTACTATCCTTTTTAATGATTTAAATGCGCCCATGTTTATGTTTGCGTAATAATTACGAATGCAATATTGAAATATTCACAGACCCAATACCCCGGGTCGGTGCCCTAACAATAGTAAAAAATAACTTGAGTTTGCGTAATTATCATGAAAGCAATACATTACAAAGTTGAAATATTCAGAGCCGGTACAATATTGTAAGCAAATTTGCGTAATTAGAAAAGCAGTACACTAAGTAAACAACGTTGATATATTCAAAGCCAGTACAGATTTGCATACAAGTTGCGTACTAGTAATTACTGTACCGTTGGATATAATAACAATTCTACTAGATCGACGCGCGGAGCACGAAAGAAAAAGGTTGCTACGGTAACGCACCAGTTCAGTGCATGACTTGGGGTCAAATTTCGGCCAACACACACTTGGTGTCGGCATCGCCGCGCAGCAAGTTTCGCAAAGAAGTACTTGAAGTTCAATTGCGTCCTACAATGATGTCGCTGATCACTCAGTTGTCGCAGCGTGTGTTGTGTCATGTCCATGATGCACCCCGTTTCGACTTTGACTTGCTTATCCTTCTTAGTGCATGTTCTTGTTCACGTAAAATTCGACCTCTCATCAATGTATTAAAACACTTTGAATTTATACTTTGCATGATTATATTTGGTCAACGCGAAACATTATTTTTTCTAGACCATTTTTATCAGCGCAGGGTTATTTTTTCCAGACAAGATGGGCTTCCTAATATCAGCCATAACATCGCCCAGGCGATCTTTTGGTCCACATTTTTCTAAAATAAAATCGAATTCTCCACAAGATCGCCCAGGGCGGGGTATCAGTCGAATCCGGTAATTTGACAATAGGCACACCTCTTATTTACATAAGTATGTGCACTATTAATAGAACAAATATGGTGAATTAAATTATTAAAATTATTAAACAAGCAGCCAGTCGGCTGAGATACATGTAGCTCCGCTGTTAGCAATGCACATTTCAATTAAAGAACAGAAGATATCATTAGAAAATGAACAATATGTATAGTATCAAAGCAATGGGACTTGCTGTTTTCAACAAGAATTCAAAAATATCACTTTTCACCAAAAATGACAAAAACAATAATCAAAATTAGATAATTGAAGATATCACCACGAAATTAACAAATCTGAAAGAGGTCCACATGTAGTACCTATATATGTAATATCAAAGCAATTGGACTTGAGGTTTTTAACAAGAAGTCGAAAATATCACTTTTTACCAAAAATGACAAAAATATTCACCAAAATTAGAGAATTGAAGATATCATCATGAAATGAACAAATCTGAGAGAGCACTACCCAAGGTACATATACATATATAAGTATCAAAGCATTCAGGCTTGTAGTTTTCAAGAAGAAGTCGAAAAAGTAAAACATTGACACGGATGCCGGACGCCGACGAACGCCGACGACGGACAATCACTCATATGATAAGCTTCGCAGGACAAAGTCAACAGCGGAGCTAAAAAAGGTTATACATAGACTTTCATAATACATTGCCATGACATCATATTTACATATTATTCACATTGCATAATCTTTCAATAAATTTGAAATGATTAAATCAGAATCTCCAAGAGAACACAAAATAATTGTGATGTCATAGTATGGATGCCTTTACCAAATCTGTTATTTAAATTGGCTTGTGTTCTGGTCAAATTGAAAACCAAAGAAATAATATCAACAGGTTGTAAAAAGTGTTCTTTTTATCTACAAGTGCGATTATGAACTCTGCCGAGGGGAGAATATAATAACAAAAATATTCTGCCCAAGTGAGTCCAGGAGGAAACAAAAATATAGAGGAATGTCACCCAAGAAAAAAAAAGCTTGCTTAGAAAATATATTTTGCACAAATTCTGCATATCTGCCATAATTTTAATCAAAATTGTAAATGCCTACTTCAGAACAAAATTACGGCAGAAAACACTGAAACACTGTCCACACCTTATGAACATAAAAAAATCAGTTGGAAAGTTTAAAAAGAAATAGTATTAAAACCTATTTTACTGCTAACAAATCACACCAATATTGTTGTTAGCTGTGCATTTGGTATGACCTCTGGCATTTTAAAGAAGGGTCTATGCTTAATGCAGTTTACTGTGAAATTAACATGAATAAACCATTCTACATGAGGGGTGTCACTGTTCAGAGATCATAATGAAAAATAAACCTTCCAGTTGATCATATCAGAAAAAATACAAAATTAAATAAACATTTACTACATGCCATTTTTGGTGCATGAATCAGAAAATCACACCACCTGCATCGCTATTAACATCCCATTTGTAGAAAAGATTTTGAACTTCTATCACAATCAAGCAATATACCTGGGACTGTGATTACACTACACTTATACTTGTATCTTTGTGAAGAGCTTCACAATTCAAGTGTGCTATATTCATTTGGCAATGATTACTCTTACTGCACATAAAGTGGTCACCATGGCAACTCAGTTCCGGAACTGTTTTACTGTATGAAAAGAATAAATCAAAGAACGAGAGGCGATGTGAAATACCTTTGTTGCCCACTAAAACACAGTAGAATAATGATGAATTTTGCGTAACAGGATCATTTCTCAGAGTTGTTTTAATGGTTATTCATGGAACAGGAAGCAGAACCCATAGGGCAACTCAATCAAAGTGAAATCATACACAATAATGCAAGTGAATTTAACAGTTTAACATGTCTTGGCATTAAGATTAGAATAAAGGGATAGATATTTATACTGTATATCATGACACATTTCTATAAATTGACCTGAATATTAAAATGTCTAGTTATGCAATTGTGTTTCCCCATCCCGTTCCGATTTTATGTCTTATAGTTTAAATGTTGTAGTATTTAATTTACAAATATTAGACTGTAATAAAATAAAATTAATTGCTTTGACAAAAGAATAAATCTAGTATTGACTTACTGATACTGAATGCATGAATGGTAAAGGGCAAGCTGGAAAATATATTGTTCGCGCTGCGCGACGACCACCGCCATTTAACACTGTGTGTACACGATGGCAGTCACAATTCAACAACCCCCTCCCCCACCCAGAGTAATAACAGGCGATTACCAGACTTGGTCACTAGTGGAGTCATTCTGTTCCAACTGGAGTTGTTGCAGATGTCGCCTGTTTGAGTTGTAACGACTTAGGTACTTCTATAAACAACCTTATTTTTGGACACTCACAAACAACACGTGACGTTGGGTCAAATGTGGGCGTGTCCATGACACGTGCTGACATCAACAAATGCTATTAATCTAGGGACCGGGTTGCATTTTATTTTAGGAGCGGGTGCATCCGCACAGGTCACGATTTCCTTGTTTTTAGTGTTATAAATAACCTGTTTTGTCACTAGTATAACATATTTCAAGTGCGTACTCATTTATAAATACACTTACCCAGTCCTTGTTCTTGAAAAAGTTAACAATTGTTGACCCGAGCGCTCCTTTCCCACCATACACCAACACACGAGGACTACCGGACGCCATCTTCCCAGTGACTGTTTTGGTCTCGGACTCCCTAACTCTGTCAATGGTCTCACAAACACGGCGCTGTACTATATGCGTGGTAAGACTGGCAATTCTTGTCAATTTATATTTGTCATTTTTATTGGGGACATTGCCATACCACGCAAGTCACAAATTCTCCATTTATTTATATACATATATCAGAGATAAATTAAATGTGATTTCATTTATTGCTATGAGCTCCCGTGTGCGAAGCACAACGTAGAGATAATGAGTTTTGTGTTTGTCCTGTCTGTGTAAATGTGTAAGCAATATCTTGAACACTTCTCAGCAGAATTTAATAACGTTTGGTACATTGGTACCTTGTGGTAATGCGCAGGCATAATTAGTGTTTAGGCCAAGTTAAATAGCTAATTTGTGTATTAATGTAGGCTAAGATTGTGAGTTATTACAGTGCACATACTCTACAAATTGAAAAGGGCAGATACACCAACCACGCCTTACAAGAAAGAAAATGCCAAATTTGCCAGAATGGAGAGATTGAGGAGGAAAAACATTTCCTCCTAACATGTTCACATTATGATGCATTAAAAAAAGACAGCCTAAACAAATTTCTTGCAACACCGACCAATCAAAACAAAGAAGAAATTAGTAAATATACTTAAAACAAAAGACAAAAAGATATTAATTAATTTAGCCAAATTTGTATACCAAGGTTTCTTAATGAGAGAAAACTTCATTAAATCTAAATTACCAGCTACCTCATAAAAATGTTTTTTTGTTTGTTTTGTTTTGTTTTTTCTCTAATTTTTTTATTTTTTTTATTTTCTCATTTCAACTTTCAACATTTAATTTTATTGTATTACTAACAATGTCTCAATTAAGAATACGTTTATCAATAAAGATTATTATTATTATTATTATTATTATTATTATTATTATTACTTAGTATGCATGTTAAGTTCTGTCAACAATGGAACAGTGAGTTTACACACATACACAGTAAGAGGACTGGATGACTCTGAGCCAGGAGGAAAACATGTACCCAAGAACAAGCTAATAACTGTTTACGTCTTGTTTACTAATATACGCATCTCAATCAAATACGATTCGTTTTTGAACAATCATGGCTGTATTTGTTCGATTATTTAAAGCCGGAGGGTCGTCATCTGCGCACACGCGGGAATTGAGTCCCAAGCGACGATAACAACACGCGCTAAAACACAAAGGCTCATGGGTAGACGCTTGTTTGTTAGGGGGGAGGTTCCTATTGACGTGGGTTTGTTTATTGATTTGTAATTTTTTTGGCGGGCTGAAGAGGGCGCGCCAAATCCGCACGTGCGTTTGAGCTTGCGCTTTGAAATTCCTGTACTAGGTAAATATGGGGCACACGTGTGCTAGCAAACGCTGCCTCCTGCTCCCAGCAACAACACTTTGATGCCCAGATAAATAAAATATTAGTTTTCTGAGTTTTATGTTTCGATAAATCATACTTTATTTTCCAGACTAAAATATTTAAACAATCACATTCCCAAAGTTATCTAGGATTTGTAGAGAAGTAGTATATTGTGCGATAGAACATTGCGGGGGGAAATAGTAGAGGGATTCAGGGTATAAGGATGATGACAGGAGTGTCGTGTCAGACTGAACAAAATAGTGAAACTCGCTTGAGTTTAGTGATGACGTATTGTATAACACAATGTAAGATAAACAGAAACTGGAATGGTGAAGAAGTAGCAAGCAACATAATACAAGTTGGATTATATATAGCCTTAGTAGGATTCACGTGAACTTAACATTGGTCATTGGTCAAAAGTTGACTTGACATGTCTTCTCCCAGGTTCGCACATAAGGTAAAAATGGCTTGAATGGTTACAGCTGTTCACATATGTACAAACAATACAAACAAAGAAAGTCAGAGAAACACCCTAGAAAAACAATCAAATGTTGCTGGCTTGCAGTAAAGCTCTGTTTAAATAATATTAACTTGTTAATTAATTATAGCTCGTCCACAATCATTTTCATTTCTGTCCTAGTTCATATTGAACGTGATATTTCTTGATATAGTGGTTATCTCTGTCTGCGAGGTTATTTTACTTGATTGTTATGTAAATTCTAAATCACACATGTAAACAAAAAGTAGGGAGTTTCATTTGCAAGCCAGAAACATACTTTATACAAATCATTCTCTTCCTCTGTTTTTATTTTTATCTGTGATTACCTGCAAACTTATACCTGGGATAGCTATTGGTAGATTTCCAAATCTTAATTCGGGTAGATTTGTTAGAATAGAAACACGCTGACTAACAACAATATGCAATTTGTTTAAAATAAATAAAAAAAAACAGCTTTGATGTAATATTGTAAATAAATAAATAAATAAATAAATAAATAAATAAATAAATAAATAAATAAATAAATAAATAAATAAATAAATAAATGAATGAATGAATGAATAATTAAATTAATTAATTAATTAATTAATTAATTAATTAATTAATGAATAAATAAATAAATAAATGAATGAATAAATAAATAAATGAATGAATGAATGAATGAATGAATGAATGAATAAATAAATAAATAAATAAATAAATAAATAAATAAATAAATAAATAAATAAATAAATAAATAAATAAATAAATAAATAAATAAATAAATAAATAAATAAATAAATAAATGCGATCATTCTTCTTCCAGTACACTAGTACAGTACATAACACATACATAGTAAATGTTTTAATTACGCTAACGTGGTTTATTTCTTTATTGGTGAAAAATCAAAAGATGTTTTTTTAATTGAATCACAGCTAAAAATTACAAAATATTATGAAGTGATAACATGTGGGTGATAAAAATTATTTTTTATTAAAAATATGAATGTGGAGAAAAGAGCTTCCAAACATGGAATGTGCATAATTACGTGCGCTACTATTATTGTAGTATTTTCAATTTGTATGATCTGCGGAAAACTTCTCACTAAGCCAAGTATTAAAGAGTCTTTGGATTTTGTACAGTTCACAAGAAGTGTTATCAAACCTACAACGATTTTTAGAAGTCATTTCTAAAATAATGTAAAGGCTTAATTTTTACTTGGAATTTATTTTCTTTGAAAGGATGAATCCGTGAAATTACAATCCAATGATCATTCTTATTTCCCTATGCTTTACACTCAACTCATCAAAAGTCAGTGAAAATAAACATCCCACAAAACAGCCATAATGTTCAGCGAAAATTACACTGTAACAGAGTTCGATCAAGCTGCCTCACTGACAAACCTAGATCGGTATCTTATCCAATTGCAACAATGCTCACTAGCTACACAGAGCACTTTAAATGCTGTTGAAATAGATACAAATTAACAACAGAATTAGTTGCTCTACAATGGAGTCTGTGGCTTGACAAACCCGATGAAAATT